TTTTTATGTAATTTAATTTTTTGGATGAGCGATTGGAATAAGAGTATGAAAGAATATTCATTTGCGATATTCATTGCATAATATAGATTATTATCATAAGAATTTTTTCAACATTATTAATTTTAAGATTTGTTATACTTATATATTATATATTTATAATTTGAATATATATTTCCTCTAATTATACTATATATTATATGGTATATACTTTATACGTATATTTCAATATTATCAAAATTTCTAGTAATTCTAACATTCGGAATTAACAGAATTCGCGTAGAACGATCCGTACGAAAATTCATTAATTATTATGACACACTGAATTATTAAATTACCAGCGGTTAACCAATATTTCGACGCAATTTAGAACGTAAACTATTATATATTAATCGAAATTAACAGTTAAACACCTATATATATTTTTAAAGGAAATTACCACTTTCCACATAAAATCTTTTGATATAATAGATCATAAAGGAAAGTATTGTCTTTTAATTTTTTAGAAGAGCAATTTCAAAGTTATCTATAATTGAAACTTATGATTAAACGCTCGTATTATAAAATTTAAGTTTTTTATTTCTTCGAGTTTGAAATATATGAAACTTTGTAAAGTATAATGAGTTATATGGAGCAAATTTTGTTTTAACAGAATATCATTCGAAGTAGATGTAATCAACGCCCAAGGTTTTAACGACTTTTCCAATTTTTTTAAAACTTATTAAATGAAAAGTATTGTTATTAATTCTTAGTATTCTCCCATACTGTCATAAAAATGAAAAAAATATACATTACTCACAAATTTTTATTAAAATCAGAATTTTTAGTTCAGATGAATTTTCTTGCCTAAGACAGAATTTTTTTTTTTTTTTCTGACCGGTATATCCAATAACCTCTTGGTCGGGAATTATAAAGAAAAACTTCGGCACGAAGCGAATTTCCGCGGAGGAGGAAATAGAGGAAAAAAAAAAAATGTCGAAATTACCGGATGGAAGTTTCCAGGAAAATATTCCTGCAAGGGTTCTCCGCGTCCAATAAAAAAGGCGGATGAAAGTGGGTGTACAAGTTTTCTCGGTAAAGAAATTTCAAACACTTCGCGTTCTCCACCCTGTGCAAAGAATGCATCCGTGCCTCCGTTGTTTTCGCGTTCTACTATATAACCGGTGTTACACACTCGCCGCAGTTTCATTACTCTTTCGTCGTGCCGCCCAATTTCGACGCGCGGACTGCAAGCTTTATTACGTTCTCTCACCGTTATATTACTGGACAGTGCTGTTCACGGTGGCTGGAAATCATGCTTAGTTCGAGATTTTAAAGTTGGAACGAAATTTTTCTCTTTTCCTTTGGGTCTTCGTTTATTTTTATTGGGAAAAAAGAGAGGTTGAATGTGAAATTTGATTGGATCATAAAAATTTATGATAGTGTTTTCTAACATTTTTTTAACTATTTTAAAGACGCTTTTTAAAGATTTATATTCTCAAGTCTTTTTATGCTTCAAAATGTATTAACGCTTTGCATTTTTCTGATTTTTTCGAAGGATGTTTGCTAGAAGAATGAAAGATGATAAGATATATACAAATATAGTATAGAAATAAATTTAATGTTACATTATTATTATTTTATTCGATATATTTATATGTTTTGTAAAATAATTTAATAAAATGTATCATAGTTTTTCAACATTCTTTATTCGCAATTTTTCAAATTCTCTATTTTGTATCATAATAATCAATTTTAAATAATAAAGAAAATACATTATATAATAAAACAATAATATTGTTTGAAACTTCTATTCAATAATTTCGCTTTTTTATAATTTTTAAGAAATTAACAATTTCTCTCTTTTCAGGTAACTATATGTCTTTGCGCAAAAATTTCCCTTTAAAGTTGGACGCCATCTTGACCGGAATCATAAAGGCTTTACGAGGTGCGTAATTAAAGCTGATTATCTTAACGGCCATTGTAACAGCCAGATATCGGTCCCGTCTTCTCCCTATAAATACTTACGATAGGCTTTTAATTGGAATTCATGGGCTCGAGTGCATACTATTCCCATACGATAATCTTGGTTGTATCAAAGCGATATCGGGGACTAGAGACGAGTATACCTACCTCCGTTTCCAGGCAAACGTGATAAACGTATCTCTTGAGAAGGTTGTTGCACAATTACGATAAATTCTTAGGGGAGACGGTAATTAATAGTTGAAAACAGGCCTTGTTTCCTTCGTTTGAGCCCTTGTAAATAGATGGTTCGTGAAATCGATTTAATTTTTTATTTTTTATTTCTTTTTATTTTTATCAAGAGTTTTTGAGAATTCATTGGAAACAGGTTTTGAAGATGCGTGAGAGCGTATATTTGGATTTTAATAGATTCTGGACTGCATTCTTGGTAGTGAATTTAAGGAATTTGAAACGTTTTTGAGGAATTTCTTCTTGGAGATTTTTCAAATGTTTCTTCAATTATTTTATTCTTCTATTGAGTTAATAGAGGGGTTAATAATACTAATAATTTATTAAAATTATATTTTAAAGAAATAATGTGGAATGATGATATTAGTTATATTATTTATTAATTATATTATTATTATAATTATAATATTAGTTATGATGTAATTAATGCAACATTATTTTGTTTCTCCTTAGAGGCTCCCCAAAAAAAAAAATTTCTATAAAGTCTAAAAAACAAATTCTTAAACATGATATAGTATGCAAAACAACTTCATTAATTTCCATCATACCTTTATTCGAAAATCCCTTACCTATCACGATCAAAGCGTACATATTATCTCGTAACATCCTTTATCGAGGACAACATGAATGAATAATTAAACGATCCCTTAACTGTATACGTACATTTACACTACCTGATTTAACTCGTTTTAATTTTATTAACAATGATAACTTCGATGCTGTTCGATTCTCGAATAAAGGAACAACAGCAATTTTCCATCGTATGACAAATGATTCTATCCACTTTTGAAAACAAAGCCTTTCACGTTTTATCCTTTATGCCACGGTGGCGAGAATCATGCTCTAAGCGAAGAAACAACCCGCGACTGACACTTGCAAATGACGTTAGTGCCGTATTAACTCTGTCCGCGGCGAGACAAAACGTCTCACGCCGTTTTCCAACTACGGAGTCGTCGTTGCCTCCGTCGTCGTAAATTAGTTCCAAGTTAATCGGTGACGGCGTAGGGTTGCGAGCACCAGCCTCTTCTGGAAAGATGGCCGCGCGAAAAGAGATAATTTGCATTTTAATTGCGCCAGTCTGCGCCACTCCACCCCTCTCTGCACCCTCGTCCACTACGTTGACACAACTGCACCCTTGCAACTTGCACACCGCGTCTTTTCTCACGTTACCACGCACAAAAAACCTTTGTTTCGAGGGTATTGTACCGTATACCTTTACGAAGAACGGTGAATTAGAGGATTATCTGGATATTTTTATTGTAGCGATTTCGTATTTGTATTAGTAGATTAATTTGATTTGATTTCGATATTTTTATTATGTCGTGATCGAATTTTTCTTTTTCATTTATTCTGTGATTTTCATTTTGTTGGTATCGTAGTTACAATAATTTTAAATTTAAAATTTCGAACATGATTCTCATGATCTATCTAATGAAATTTGAAATTTTAATGAAATTTGAAACGGAATGAAGGAAAATTTTGGAAAATATAACAAAAAATAGTAGAAATATTTATTTTACATGTTTTTAATTTCTCTTCGTATCAATTATTATTAATTATTATTATTAATTAAAAATTCGCGAGCAAAATAATAATTTTATTTTTAAAATAAATTATATATAAAATATATCAATTCGAATCGTAAGAATTTAGAATGTTTTAACGAGCAAAAATACTTGCACGAATATTCAATATTCCATTTGTTGAAAAAAATCAAAGGGCGAAAAGAAATTATCTCCAACCGCGATTCCCCTCGCTCCATCCCCTTTTCTCTTAAACTTCCCATTTGTGAAATAGCAAAGAAGGAGGACAGGAAAAAAAGGAGGAAGCGTTTAATTGTAAGTACATTCAATTTACCCGGCCGATCTCTTTCTCTCGATTTCTTTGAATTTCTTCTCCGCTCCATCGAAAAGGGTGGAGGTGGTAGAAGAGGCATGGAATAACGGGAGAAGTTTACGGAAGATGCTCGCGAACTTTAACTTCCGCCCCTCGAAATCCTTTGCATTGAGGCCATTAATAAATGGGGCTATTCGAATAAGTTGCGTAGAATAATCAATAATTCGATGAATTACGGAGAGGGATGAATGACTCGGCGAAAGTACGAGGGATTCTGGTTTCTCGTGATAATTTCTCAGCCAGTGCTGGTTTGTTAAAAGGGAGAAGAAGAGGTATCGCAGATTGGAAAATAATTGGATGCAAATCGATTGATATTTTAAAGTATCGATGTTCTAGAAATTAATATAAAAGAGGAGGAGATTGAAAGAGAAGGTTGGTTTTTTTTTTGCTTTCATTTTCAGTGTTTTTCCAATTTTTTTCAATCAGTGGTCAGTTAATCATATTTATTTTATGAAACGAACTTAAAAAATATCGATATATTATTCTTCTAAATAATTATTTTTTCATTTTTTCGATAAAGAAATTACGAGTCGAATTAGAATACAAACAGAAACGATTTGATTAAATTTCTAAGTACACGTGGTTTAAAACAATCGATCATAGCTTTGACTTAATTGAATTTGTCACTAATGAAATTTTAAATATATCTAATTTTATTCATTTATTCGAAAAATATATTTTATAAAAACGTTAGTTAAAATTTTCACCTTTGATTATTTTTTTTTAATAAATTAATACATTATATATAATTAATATATATCTCAAAAAGTAAATTATAAATAGAATTATAATTTCTTATCATTTCAATTTTAACCTATTTAATATATATATATTTTTTTTTTTACTTAACATTTAACATTTACATATATTTCTTATCCCTCTTATAAGAATCTTCTTAACATAATTAAATGCACAGACGTAGTATTCCTTAATTTAATATTCTTAAACTTAAATTCAAATTGTTAGTCCAATATAAAATATCGAACTTTCATTTCATCCAAATTGTTCACTTGATAATTGTTCATTATCAAGAAATGATAAGATACAAAATTATATAATAATACCACAACACCATTTTTCATCGACTCAGTTTCTTCATGAAATTTTTATCGAGACCTATCATCGATGAGGCCCAATTAAATATTAATCTTCTGATTCGATCCACTTGCACCTTAAGTGTCGAGAGACCGTATTTTTGTATTCTTGGCAAGAACTACCACGACTTGCGACTGTCACTTGAATGGTAGCTGGTTTTATGGTGTCCTGGTTCCGCCTGGCTCTAGTTTTACGACCTCTCCCATTGGCTGCAGCGGTTGCCTTATAGTTACGAAAAGGTCGATACGCTTCCTTCTCGTCCTCCCTTCCTTTCTGTTCGATATTTCCCTTGGCCACTCGAGAAACCACTCTTAAAGGTGGATCTTTCCAAATCTGGCTCACCTTGAAAATGTGAACGATTTCTTGCTGAATAATTCGCCAAGAATTTTTTACATATTTCCCTACAATTCAGAAACATTCCTTTCAATTTTTATTCAACATTTAAGAGAACATTTTAAACTTTTAAGAAGAGAATCTTTTCAACTCTCTGGAGAGAAATTTCTTTTTCTGAAAAGAATCTGTAACATCGACGATTATTACAATTTAAGTTTCACTCGTTCATTCAGCAAATCACGCATCATACTAATTAAAATGAAAGGCAAGGGCCAGACATTTTGATAAACCACTTCCGCAACGCAAATAAAACGTTTAATTAGATCTGAGGAGATCCACCAATAAAACCAATTACCAAGTCCCTAAACACACCCGTTGCCCCAACAGGCGCACCAAGGCACGTTCCCACTGCTGGTGCTCGCCTTCCTCGTCTTGGCTTCGTTGCCAATCTCTCTGCTGCTAACAGAATTAGTCCTCTCCCTCTCAGAGTTGAGCGCCTCCTTTTCCCTGCCCATGTCCAGGCTGCCGCTCCTCACGGTCCTCATCGAGGTCAAGGAGGGCCTCTTCTTCGCGTTAAAATACAGAGACACCCTCCTCAACTGCTCCTTCTTCGGCGAATCTTGACCCGACGAGGACGACCTGCTCTCGTTCTTGTCCTCTTGCCCTTCTGACGTAGTCGTCGTCGTGATGCTAAGTCTTCTTGTCCTCTTTCGAGCGGTCACCTTACCCGGAGACTCGGGCACCTCCGACGAGGTGACGCTGCCCTGTTTCTTCAATCTCCTCTGAGCAGTCGGCGACAAAGACTTCTGTTCCTTGCCAACGTTTCCTTTCTCCTTTCTGATCATCCTTTTTCTACGCTGCCCGCTTGGCGTGCTGGGTGCGCTCTCCTCATGGGACAACGCGTGCTCGTCCTCGTGATGAGAATCGCCGTCTATGGAAGTCTGAGTCTGGGCCGCCACCTTCAGCGCCAGGTTGTCGTAGTACATCATCTCCCTCTGTGGATATACGGAGCACCCCCTCGAAAAATAGGACACGTTCTGGTAAATGTTTTGCCCGTGCAGATACGGGTTCGGGTTCAACCTGCGACCAGCATTGAATTCATAAGGCGTCGACGGGCCTATGAGGGTGTGAGGGCTGGGCCTTTCGAAGGAAGTCACCTGGATCTGATGCTTGCTCACCGGGGACATCAGTTTTCCGTTGACCAATTGGTTGGTTGGGATGAGGAGACGGTTCTGATCAGTCTGTCTGTACTTGTCTCCGAAAGGTGTCATCCTCCTTTTGAAAGTAGAGGTTTCAGGGTGGGGCATTGGGTAGTAGCACAGGTTGTCATCGTTCACTTGGACCGACAGAGGTCTGGTGATGTTGTTTTGGTTCATATAACCGGCGGCCGCCTCGAAATTTCGTAGAAAGGGATTCTTGAAAAGTCGATAGTCTATAGTGGGTAACTTTGGGATCTCCGGCGTGTCGGGGCTGGCCGCCTGCTCAAGAGCAGCAGGCACCTCTTCTGCGCGTGGCGGCTTCAAAGTTACATTCAGATACGACTTGTACGGTTTCGAGTCTGATATATTGTCCAAAGTATTGTCGCTTCGGGTCAACATCTGTTGCTTGCCTTCAGCCTGATTGGCAGAGACAGGCTGCGACTTAATGGACAAATCTTGCCACGACATCGATTTTGTCAATTGATTACCGATGCTAGATTTCGCGTTCTCGATCAGCAAATTATCCGTGCTCAGGAAAGTTCTCTGTTCACCTTTATTATTCAGAAAATTATCTTCATATGGAACTGCCCCGTTCACGTACACGTCAAGTGATCCTTTCATCAATTGATTCTTGAGGATTATAGTGGACCCAGTCTTGTCGCTGCTCGAACTATTCCCAGTCCCAAGGTAACTGATCGTGGGTGAAGATTCGTCGTTTTGTTTCTTCACTTTCGAAGGCAACGGGGCGAAAAAGTGTTTCGGCTTCTCGCTTCCCGATACAGAACTCTCCTCCTTCTTCCTCTTCTCGCCTTGATCCAACGAATCCTTCAAATTTCTATTCGTGCTCCATCCATTCTCGACCACATTCTCCGTGTTCTCGCGCGTACTTCCAGTTACATTAGGGTTGATCGTGTTATTCGTTATTATCGAACCATCGATCTTTCTTCTGTGGAAAGTTGGCAAAGCAAAACCACCGATCATCTGCTCAACAGGCTTCGCCTGATCCTGACGAATCTCAGCAAATGTCTGCACGCTCGTTAAATTAACATCGGTTGTTTCAAACGTGGCCACCTGCGTTTCAGGTATCATAACGTTGCTCTGCCAGCCTGCAGGTGGCGCGTGCAATATCTGGTCGTTGATCTGATCCACGCTTGGGCCACCCAGGCTCACCGAAGGCAACAGTGGATCTATCGGGATTATAGGATCTGCGTTTATTGACGGGCAAGGAGTAGTTAGCATTGACGCTGGTTCCGTGGACATCATTAGATTCAACGTGCTTGGAAATTTGAAGGGACATTCGGTATAGTAAGCTGGACTACTTAGGCAAGTCGGTGATTGATATGCGTCAGGATAGAAGGAGACGTTTTCGTGAAGTTGCCTCGATTTCAGGATGGAAAGGGGACTTTTCTCCTCTTTGAATTGCGAATTATCTTCGGAAGAGATCTCTTTCTTGTCTCTTTTAGGTTCCTCCTCTTCATCGACCACCGAAAGATCATCAAAATCCACGTGTAACCTGTGCAGCGCGCTATTCGCCATTTTTTCCGTGGAAATTTTTTGGTTCTCCGCGTTTTCTAGTTGCTCGGGTTCCTTGGTCGCATCCTCTTGCCCATTTTCACTGAATTCCTCCCCTTCCTCTGAGTAATCTGATCGCACATCGTCATCCTCGTCGGAGCGATCCTGAAATAGATAGTTATTTTAGTTTTTGGTAAAAACTTTTTCCTAGAATTTTATTCTAATTCTATTACGTTTTTTTACTTTCATTTCTTTTCATATTAATCGTACGATATTAATATACAAATATTATAATCTATTAATTAATCTAATAATTTTATTATATTTATTTAGTTCTTTTCGATCAAAAATTAATATTCGTCTTTTTAGTAACATAAATATTTTTTAAAGTTGAAAGGCACGAAAACTGGAAGATTATGGTAATTGGATTAAGGGAATGTTTGACGCATCAGCGTCGATATTCATTTTCATGATGTAATTCGAAGATTCGTACATTAATATCCCATCAGTAAGCTTACAAACCATAATCCAGCTTCGAAAACAAACTTCGCTATCAATCAAACGGCCGAAATCCCTAAAATCGACGCATCGATCACTCATCTTCGCTAATCCATCCAACTTTGGATATCCCTTACCTCGTATTCTTCGCTTTCTCCGCGGCTCTTCTGTCTCTTCAGTATCTCCTCGAGCTTGTCGTACTCGTCTCTGAGGCTCCATATCTCTCTACGTAGCTGCTCGTTCTCCCTTCGCAGCTTCTTAATGTCGTTCTGACCTGGAACCGAAAAATTAAACGTCATTTTGAAGAACAATAAATTTCGTGCGATTCGTTTTTCCTTCCTGAAGATCGTTTAATCTTTCAATATTTATGTATCTCATAGATTGTTATATTTTTTTTATAATTCAAGATGATTCGGCCTGATTTTTTTTTAGATAGAATTGAATGATTGAATATAGAGAAAGCTCACATTTCTGATGTTACTAGTTCTTTTATTTATTGTTTTTTTTTGTTAGTTGTTTTTTTGTTATTGAATTAAAAGATATTTCAAGTTTCATAAAATTTATCATGTGATAAAGAGAATACGAACACTAATTAATAACAAATGAAGGCTTTTTATTCGAATCTTTATAAAAATTAAAAGTTGAACGATATATATGTTTCAGAAACTATTATTATCCCCATGTGCTAATTAAACCGAAATTATAAGCAAAAAAAAAAAAAAAAATCAAGAGTTTCAAAAAATTTTATACGGTGAAACAATAAAATAGAATAAAATTTCTCTATCCTCGTAAAAAAAAATTTCCAACTCGATTTCCATCATTGAAGAATTAATCACGACTCAAACAGTTGGGTCACGAATCGACCGGTCTATTCCACCTATCGAAACGATCGATCATTGGTCAGAGCTCTGATCTCTAAACCTTCGTCTTTCACTGCGTCAAGGAACCGAGTTATAAATCACCCGAGGGTGAGATCTTCCAATTACTTAACCGAAAGATACGAATAAACTTTCAGCGAACTCATCGAATTGGCGAATATTTGGCTAACATTCAGAAAACAAACGAAAATATCGCTCTAAAACAAATGCCTCTAATCCGAAATCATTTAACTTTTATTCGAAACATTTTTTAATATTTGCGTGATATATCAAATAATGTTATTCAGACACCCGATATAATATAGTACATAATTGATTATTGAAAATAATCACGATATTCCAAATAAAAAAAATTCAATGTTTGAATTTTTCAAAAATTAAAAAAATGATAAAAAACGCACTAAAAATGATAGTATAAAAATGGTAGAACATAAATATGCAAGGAGAAAATATCGAAATTTATATAAATTGTGAAAAAAAAGTTTTAAAGCTCTAAAAAAGTGGCTTACTTTAAAGTGACTTACTTAGTAAGAAGAATGATAAAAAAATAAATAGGAGAACGGTAAATGTATGATAAATGTATAAAAATTCCTTTTAATTATATTCTCCTAATAGAAAATCGAATTTTTGGCTAAAAGTTTCGTTTTATTGTTCGAATATTTTGGAAATTTGCAAGAATTTGACGTCAGTTCTAAGAATTTTAAAAATTCTCAGAATTTGACATTAGTTCCAAGAATTTTAGAAATTCTCAAAATTTGATATCATTTCCAAGAATTTTAAAGATTCCGAGAATTTGACGTCATTTTTCTTGGAAAAATTTTTCAATCAACCTCCTAACATATTATATTCTTCTAATATAAAATCTAATTTTTGGATAAAAATTTTATTATCGTTCAGGGAATTTCGATCTTAATCTTTTTATTAAATATTTCGTTTAATTTTAGTAATATTAAAAAATGTTTGAAATAAGAGTTGAATGGTTTCGACAGGTCTGATGCTCTCAATTTTTTCGAAGATGGACTCATAAACGTTATAAACCACAATTTTATTTTTTTAAATGTTATCATATATTTTTTAATAAATCAATCTATGCATCTTGGCATTTTCTATAAAAATGTATAGAGCTATTTATAGTGAAAAACCATTCGTTTAAAAGATATTTAATTAAATTTATTTATTTTCTAAACTATAGGTTTTTTTGTATTATATTATACGATTCAGTACTTTTTTATAGAGAATGTTAAGATATATCAACTAGTGTATCAGAATATAATTCTATTTAAAAAAACAATATTCACATTTATAAATCCTTTACATTTCTATATATAAAAAAATAAACAGAATATGCTTCTCTCAAAACCATTTAACTTTTATTTAAAAAACTTTTTAATATTGTTTTAATAATATTATATTATTTTAATAATTATATATTAATATTACTTAAAGCAAATAAAATATTTTATATAATAGAAATAGAATATTTTTGATTTAATTATAAAAATATTCTTGAATTATTTAAAAATTTTTAAATAATTAAATACGCGCAAAAAATTTTGTATTTCTGATAGAAAATAAGTATGAGAGAAATAAATATTTAAATTTGTGTAAACTGTGGAAAAAATGGTATCATTAAGAAAAATAGTAAAAAAGTAAGTATGCCAACGGTAAATATATGATAAGTATTCATTAATTTGGTCATTTGGAAATTTCCAAGATTTTGACGTTATTTCTGTAAATTTGAGAGATTCCAAGGAGGCTCAAAAATTACTAAATCTCCTCCTATTAACTTGGATGAAAGAAGAATTAATTAATATATGCTAAAATAAGAAAATACTGAAATAATAATATGGGAAATATCTAAATGATAACTGTTTCTAATATTTAGTAAATTTAATAAATTTTTAGTACCACAAAGGAAAGTAGCTATAAAAAAAGGTAAGTAAATGATAAGTTGAGATAAGTATTTCTAGAATTGAGAAAACTGTTGAGAAATACTTAATATCGCAAAAAACAGTAGCTGTAAAAAAGTCAGTATATATTTTCCTGTGTTTCTATATTTCTATTCCTTAATCTTGAATATTTCTGTGTTCCTATATTCTTATTATCCATATTCCTTAATTCTGAATATTTCTGTGTTTCTATACTCCTATCATCCATATTCCTTAATCCTAAATATTTCTGTATTCCTATATCTCTGTTATCTATATTTCTTAATCCTGAATATTCCTGTGTTCCTATACTCTTATTATATATATTTCTTAATCCTGTATATTTCTATATTTTAATTATCTATATTTCTTCCTTTAGAATTAAGTAAACTGTTAAAAAACAATTAATCAAAAAACAGTGAAAAAGGTAAGTAAAAACAAAGTAAGTAAAGATAAGTATTTATTATTAGAATTAAGAAAACTATTGAAAAATATTTAATATTTCAAAGAATAATAGCTATAAAAAGTAAGTTATGAAAGATAAATATAGAAGTAAGTATTTTACAAATGATTTTTGAAATTTTCGAAAATTTTGGTAAATAAACATTGAAAATATAAATAAACAAAACGAGAATGTAAATAAACATTAAAGATATAAATAAACAAACCAATATTTGCAAACAAAAAATTTCAGCGCCAAGTTTTTAAATTTTCGAAAATTTTGAAAATTTTTTTAAAAAATTTTAAATATATGTGAAATTAAAAAATTTGGAAACTAAAAATTTCCTTTATTCAAAAATTTCGATAATTCCAGGAATTTGATGTCATTTCCAAGAACTGCTAAAATTCTTGGAAAAATTTCTCGATCGACCTCCTATCAAGTTATATTTTCATAGTACAAAATCGAATTTTCGACCAAAATTTTTACTTATTTCATGAATTTCGATAATTCCAAGAATGTAACGTCATTTACAAGAATTTTCGAAATTCCATAAATTTGACGTCATTTCCAAAAACTACCAAAATTCTTGGAAAAATTTCTAGAGCGATCTTTTATTATATTATGTTCTCTTAATACAAAGTCCAATTTTCGAACAGTAAAAATTTTTAGTCGAATTTTTAACATGATATTAGAAGAATATAATTGACATAAGTTTTTCTTCAAGAATTTCAAAACTGATATTATTGTCACTTTTCGACTTTTTATCAGTATAATGCAATTATAAATAGAGTAGAATTTATACTTATTTTTTATACTTACCTTTTTATACTTTTAATCAATCATGTTTTCAAGAATTAGTCATTTTTTAATACTTTATTTACTTCTAAGGATTAAAGAAAAATATAGGATGAGCTATCATTTTAATATCTCATTAATGTTCTATAATGAAATATTAAAAAATGAGATAAAAGTTATATGGTTTGAAGAGAGGAATATTTTTTTCTTTTTCACAAATAGACGCATTGAAGCTTTGGAAATTAACGGTATTTCTTTAAATAGAATTATACATTTTTCAATGAATTAATAGACATAACACAACTGATAGATGGTATTCTCTACAAAAATGTACTAAAGTATTCATAGCAAAAAACTACTAAAAATTTTAAAAATATTTAATTAAATTAAATTATTTTTTAACTTTAAACTATGAATTTAAAAAATATTTATTATTTGCTATATGGGATTTAATATTTTTTTTTTATAGAGAATAATAAATGCATTTATTGAAGCATTGAGAGAAGCATTGAAAGAATGTAAGAATTTAAAAAATCAACTTTCATAAATTCTTTATGAATCAACATATGGAAAAATTAAGAACATTAAAATGTTTCCTTTTCGAAACCACCTTTTATCTGAAACGTTTTTTAATATTATGAAAAAAATAAGATATTCTAAGTAATGAATATATAATAATCAGTATATTATTCTTTAACTCTATTAGAAATAAAAAAAAATGTTATTACGGCTTTAGTATTATAAAACATGACAGCTTTCATTATGAAAGATAAATATATAGAAAGGAATATCTACATTAAAATAATAAACTGTACAAGAAATGTTTTAAAACTCTGTTAGCTGGTAGAAAATAAGTATGTAAATGATAAATGTAAAATGAGTATTTAAAACCTCTTATTAAATTATATTCTCTTGATACAAAGTCGAAAAATTGGAGAAAATTTTCAATCTATAATTCGAAGAAAATTCCAAGAATTTAATATCTGTTCTAAGAATTTTAGAAATTCATAGAAATTTGATGTCATTTCTAATTCTCTGTTAAAATTCTTGGAAAAAATATTTCGAGCGATTTCCTGTCATATTATGTTCTCCTAATACAAAATTTTTCGTTCGTTCGAACATTTGGAAATTTCCAAGAATTTAACATCATTTCTTGGAAAAATTCGATCGACCTCTTATTATATCATGTTCTTCTAATACAAAATATAGTAAAATATAGTATTAAAAAATG